TTTAAGCCAATGTTTGTGTGTGAATTGAAAGGCCGCCTTGGATCAAACTTAGCAGAAAGTGTTAGGTTTAGAGCGACAAGGGCAGGTCTCATTGAGTGCTGTGTTCCAACATCAAGGAGCTGAGAGTTTTGGCGAGGAATAAGTGTGGGGGAAAAGACCTTTTGGTGAGTAGAAAAAGGTGAGATGAGTGGAAAAGAGAGAGTGAAAATAGCTAGGGGAATGAAAGAAAAAGAAATCAGTCTTGGTGTTTTGAGAGAGTGAGCTCTGGTTTGTTGAAAAGAAAGAGTCTAGACTCTAAGTAAAAAAAAAAAAAGGAAGAAAAGAAGCCAAAGGCTCAAATGTTTTGTTAAGAAAGAAAGAAGAGGCTAGAAGTTGTAAAAGAAAAAGAGCTGTGTAAAGTTTGAGTTCCAAGACTTGAGAGGAAAAGTGAAAAGTGAATCCCCTAGTGAGAGGAAAATGAGAGTGAAAAGTGAGGATTTTTGAGCAAGTGAGGAAGCTTTGAGTAGAGGGTGGGGTGTGATGAGTCTTTGCCCTTGTATGCATAGGTTGCTTTTTACCTTTATAGCATTCTACCAAAGTTTGATCATTCATAGAGAGATCCCTTTGCTGCATCTAACCCACTTGAACACTAATGAGATCATTTTAATCTCATAGCCTCTCCCTAGCCAAGCCAGCTTGTTTAAACCTTGCATCATGAGATCCACCTGATAAAAGCTTAATGAATGTGAAAGAGTTGAGAGAGAGATGAACTTGTGGAGATTCCTTGCTGAGTTGATATGTATATCTGAGTATGACTTTGCATTGCATAATTGAGCATGAACTTGAGTTCTCATTGTGATCACTTCTCTCAAAAAGAAAATGTGAACTCTCATTGCATACAACCTCTTTCTCTCATTTGCTCTTTTTGCTTGAGGACAAGCAAAGGACAAGTGTGGGGGAGTTGATATGTTCATAATTTGCATCATTTAGGTTGCATAAATCATTCCAAATCATGTTTTATTTCATGCATTTTAGGTCCTTAGGGTTTGTTTTAGAACTTAGGAGATGCATTAGGTCCCAATCAGTCTATTGCATGTTTTGAGTGTCTATCAGGTGCATGTGGAGCTGTAAAGATGAATCCAGGAGGTGGAATGGTGAGCAAAGCTTGAAAAAGTGGAAAAATTGGGTCCTGGGAGATTATCGGCCATTCTCGCTGGCCAGGAAGGTTTTACCGGCCATTTCCATGTACCGCGGGAAGCTTTACCGGCCATTTTCATGTACCGCGAATGAAGTGTATCGGCCAAAATCTCCGGGTATGAACGTGTCTCAGAAATCGCCTGTCCGGGGAGCCTTCCGGTCCGATTCAGACGGCGGGTGATTCATAGAAGTTGGAGAGCATTGCATCACAGTCTCTTAGCAAGTGGAATCGTGGAATTCGGACGCGTGAGCAGAGAGATAAGCATGTCGGAAGGAACCCCAGTCTCGCAGGTATTCCGGACCGAACAGATCAGTCCTAAAGGATGCGAAGGACGGTGCACTTCCAGGCCGATTTAGTTTCCGGGTCCTTCATGAGAACCAGAGACATTTGAGTCTTCTTTCCAGAACGTCCAAGAGCATTCAATTCGGATCTATGAGCAGAAAGATACGGTCTCCGGAATGGACACATGTCTAGACGCCTCTCTCTGGTCGCGTACATGCACTGCAAAGATGTGCCGTCCAGGAAGCCTTACACTTCCCAAGCACCGAAGCTTCCTTCACCAAAGTTGGAGATAAATGAGTCCTCTGTCTTCTGCAACCGAAATCATTCAATTCGGACAAGTCTCATAGGAGTTACACTCTCCGGAATGCGAAGTGGTCTAAGCTGCTCTGGATGCTGCGAGATGGTCTTGCGACTTGGTTAACCCGCAGGCCTGAAGATGAACGCCTGAATGCTGATGCTGCGAGTTGATATGTGCGGGTAAACTATCACTGGAAGAGGTCTGAAGCTCAAGAGCAAGAGAAATGCTAAGTCCACAATCGTGCGACTTAGGCATGCGAGTTAGCCGCGCCTGGAACTATGCCGCACGATCACTCGCAAATCACTCCGACTTGAGCCTGCGACCTGGGTGCAATAGAGACCAACCCGCACAGTTTGTACATTCCCCAGAAACCGCCTTAGCCCTGCGAGTTGGAGAGGAAGGAGACCAAGCCGCAGCAACACTCGCAAAACACTCCTACTTAGGCGTGCGGCTAAGACAGGGCGATTCAGGCTTCACAAGACAAGTCTTCATCTACTGCGACTTAGGTGTGCGACCTGGGACATACTGGACCGACCCGCAGTAATTCCCACTTTATCCATTAAAGCCGGGTCAGGACCCGGTTTGTTCCGGGCTGACCCGGTTCGTTTTTAAGGAAGTATAAATACTTTTTAGGGTTTTTTTTTTTGGGGAGATTTGAGTTTTATTCCCTTTGTCTCTTGCCTCTTTAGTAAAAAAGACTCCATTAAGAAGAGAAATATTTTTATTTGAGTGTTTTAATCAAGAGAGTTTAAAAGAGATCTGGGTGTTTAAAGCTGTTTTCTTTTGAATCTATCATCTCCATCTCCATTTCTCATCATTAATCATGCTAATCTACCCAACTTGCAAAGGTTTAAGAGAGATTAGTATGATTAGTGAGTAGTCACCCTAATGAGGTTCTAGATGTGTAGGTTAGGGTGCTAAAGTGTTAGATTAGGAGTGCTTAGGGCTAGATTCATTGATTCATCTCTCTAAACAGCTGTTCTCTATGCTAGATCCTTGATAATCACTTGAGATCTAGATTCTGGGAATTTCATGCACCAAAAGTGTTTGATGAAATTCCTGAAAGAGTTGTGTTAGAGGTTTAAGTAATTTTTCATCATGGGAATGATTTGTTAAATGCTTGAATGATCATTAAGAGCTGTTTGTTAATGCATATTGATTCATGTTTCACAAATGGGAATTTGGTTTGAAAATGGATTAGTATAGGGGTCAATACCTTCATGAGAGGATTAACCTAGATTTGAGTTCTTAATCATTTGAATCATGTCTCATCATTGTCATTAGCATTTCTAGTCTAGCACCAAAGCACCCTAACCAACTATCATGTCTAGAATCTCATGCCTCCATCATATCATATTCACATCCTTTGTCATTGCTTAGTTCTTGAGTAGTCATTGTCATTAGTCTTTAAACCTGTTTAAGTTTGTTAGTTGTCATTAGTTAACCAAAACCTAATCTTGTTTGCTTGAATTAAGAACTTGATCATATAGCTTAGTGTCTATCACCACATTCTTGGATTGATTAACCTCTTTGTGCTACTTTGACAAGGGGATTGATAGCCCTGAGACCCTAAAAAGTCTTATCTATCACCAAATATTTGTAAGGAAAAACTAAGGGATCCGAAATTTCTAGGGTAATCGCAAGAACAGTAAGATCGAAAGAAGGTTTTTTGCTTGAAAAGTGTTTAAGTCTTATTGCTCTCGAGGTGTGAAAAAATTTACAGAATGAATTGCATACATTGTCTATTTATACTAACTTTCTAAACCGCCTAGCCGAGAATCTCGGGAGAGATTTTCGGAATATTTCCTTATTGCTTCGTGCGGCCACCGTCACAATGCCTCGCCTAGGGTTTTTATGGGCTTTTGCCCTTCGAGACTTCGGCTCGGCCCGTCTGGAAAAACTGGCTCGGCCCAACACAAAGGAAAGCGGCTCGGCCCATGCTTCCTCTTGCGCAGCTCGGCCCACTCTTCGTTCTTCTCACGGCTCGGCCCATTTATCCTTCTCCACGGCTCGGTCCACTCGTCTTGGTGAGCATGGCTCGGCCCACTTGTTTCGTGGGACAGCTCGGCCCATATTTGGTGGGCAGCTGTTCTTTCTTGACAAATCGGTTTTCTCCAATACTTAGTAATTTTTGAGATGGTTTTATCCGCTTGGGTTGAAACCGACCCCAACAGTTAGCCCCCCAGCTCGTCAGTTTCGGAGACGAGAGTGACGAGGTTCATTCCTCCTGGACATGGGATAAACCATCGAATTAGGCCGTTGCGAAACAATTCTAGGTGAGACGTTTTGGGAATAAAAATGCCGAGCCATTCTTCGACGAAGCATAATAGCGAGCTATTTTTTGACGAGGCTGTTTGAAGGAAAATGCCGAGCCGTTCACAAGATGAGGCTACTTTGACAAAGATAGCGCCGAGCTGTTTCAACGACGTGGTGTTTACGTAGTGCCGAGCTATGTTTAGCGACGAGGCGTTTCAAGATAAAGATAATGTCGAGCCATTTTTTTAACGACGAGGCGTGGTGCAATCTGTGCTGTTTGGTGAGATATCCTTAGGAAAAGGATTGTACGCGAGGCGACTTGTGAAAGTTATGCCGAGCCGAATAAACGACGAGGCGTTTTGTGAAAGTTATGCCGAGCCGAATAAACGACGAGGCATTTTCTGTAAGTTATGCTGAGCCGAATAAACGACGAGGCGTTTTGTGAAAGTTATGCCGAGCCGAATAAACGACGAGGCGTTTTGTGAAAGTTATGTCGAGCCGAATAAACGACAAGGCGTTATGTGAAAGTTACGCCGAGCCGTATCGACAAAGCATGGTTCGGTTCACACAGCTTGATGAGATATTCTCAGATAGCCATAACTGTGTAATGGGCTCGGTTTATCTGGACAGAGCGGCTGTTAGTTCTTTCCAAGGCATCTTGAGTGTTGGCGTGCATGACGGACGCTCCAAGAGGTTATGCATTCGCCGCAGACTTCACGTGCCCCCATCGAACACCTTTGCACCATCCCGAGGTCCACGCGGACTTCACGTGCTTCGGTTTTCCTATAAATAGGTGAGCTCCTTCGTTCCTTCTCATAATCTTCAGATCCATTCGTTTTCACTAAAAGGTAGCTCTCCCTTCTCTCTTCTTTCTCTCTCTAGTTTTATTTATTTTCCGGCTAGGGTTCCGAGGTCTCCGCCGCCTCAGATCTTTTTCCGACGAAAGTTGGCCGCGTAGAATTGTATTTTCCGTTCTGGCTGTTAATCATGTCGAACCATTCCAACAATTCATTAGATTCACTCTTTAACTACGGGCCGAGCCGTGTAGACACCGAGGCGAGAGGTGTAACAGGATCCTCCGAGGCGTTTATCTCGCCGAGCTTTTCCAACCGTTCATCCAAAAGCAACGAGGCGTCAAATCGTTCAAATCCGTCAGGCGCTCGCTCTCCAGATGACGAGCCGTCGGTTTCGACGAACCACCCTCAAGGTCCCGCTCTCGACGAAGATGTTAATCATGCCGCAGTGAAAGCCGAGGAGGAAGCGTTTCCCTTTGATCTGTTTGAGGCGAAGCGTGAATTAGAACGTCTTATGGCGTCCCCAGGTGCTTCTTCTTCTGGGCGAGGGAAACGAGTGAAAAGACAAAAACCTGACCCGCCCGGCTCTACGCTCTCCTCCCCTGACTCACTCAAGCCGTTGAGATGTCGATTCGGGATATCTGAGGCGGTAGAATTCGTCCTTCCAGAGAAGAATGACCGAGCCGACAAACCTCCTGAGAATCACTTTACTCTGTACGAGGCGTTCTTCGAGCTTTGTATTCTCTGGTTCCTGATCCCCGGAATTATCCTTGAGTACCTCTGGAAACATGGGATCTCAATCGGGCAGATCATGCCGAGGGGTCTGCGGCACATGATCGGCATTCTGGTTCGAAGTTTTGAATGCGGGCTTGATATTGAACTGAATCACCTGCTAAACTTGTTGGAGATCAGAAAATCTCCGAAGGGAGACAGATTTTATATCTCCAACAAGTACAACCGCCGGATCATAGGTGGTTTTCCAAGCAAGGATCAGTTTTGGACCGAGCGCTTCTTCTATGTATTGGTGAACGAGGCGTCAGTCGGCGAGGATTACGTTCAAAAAACCAAAACCACTTGGGGACCACTTGGTAGCCGATCCGAAGCTCTGCCTCGGCTTGGAACTGTTATCGTATAATCTTCCTTTACTGAATCTTTTTTGTGTTGTTTTTGCAGTTCGGAACATTCTTCCCCCGATTCCCGACGACCTTTTTGCTATTCGAGATTCTCTTGCGGCTCAGAGAGTTAATTGGAAGAAGCATTTTTCATTCGAGAGAGTGGAAAAAGCACGAGCCATTCTTGCCGGAGTTCCTGTTAGCTCTTCGTCTTCGAATTCCTCGCTAGACACAAGGGAGAAAATGGTGATCATTACTCTTAGAGATAAGAAAAGGCACGAAGAAGAAGAAGATGCGAGACAAGCCGCCGAGGCGGCTCAAACAGAAACCGAGGCTGTCCCTCAGACCGATCCGCCGAGCCGTGAAGGTGAAGGCACGGTCCAAGCCGCGGAGGCAAACGTTGCCGAGGCGACCGAGAAAGAAGCAGCGCCCGAGGTGGAACCGGGCGAAATTATTCCCGAGGCACCCAAAGATGACTCTGCGGCGCGGAGTAAAACTCTTTCAATCGGCTATTCTGGCTCTTCCGAAGTCATCGAGGCCCCCGACTTCGGTTTTACAGAAGCATGATTCTAGCCGAAAACGTTCGGCTGCTGATTAGGGGAAGGGCGTAGCTATCCAAAAGGACGAGCCGACCAAGAAGAAGGGCAAGCAGGCTCCCGGTGACCCCGCTGCACGCAAACTGGTCGTCGACGACCCTGACGCCTCGGCAATGACGCCTCAAATTATCACTAAGTGATTAACGCGTATTATTCTTTGCAGTTGTAGCGGCCATCAACGAGCTGATAGCTGAATACGAGGCAGACGTGTCCAAGGTCGAACGTCGCCTGGACGAGGCTCGGAACGAGACCGCGGCAGCGAAGGGGAAGCTGGACAAGGCGATGACCAGGGTGTCGAGGCTAGAAAAGGGGAAGATAGTTCTTCGTGCCGATGTCGACAAGGTTTCTTCCTCGGTCATTCACCTCGAGGAAGTTAGGAGAGCCAAAAGCACCGAGGTGGCGTTGCTCAAAAGGCGTATCGAGGCCAAGGATGCCTTGTTTAACACCAAGGTCAAGCGTGCGAAGAAGGAAGCGAGGCGAGAGCTGACGGCTAAGTTTCAGGAGCGCCTCGCCAAGGTGGAGGAAGGTTTGGCCAAGCTCGAGAAGGCCAAAACCGATGAGAACGTGCTGGGGCAAATCAAGGGCAACCTTGCGATGATTGCCGATCTGAGGAAACAAGACGCCCCTACGCTCGACGACGAGGAGGCAAAACTAAAGAGCTGGGAGAGCGAGTACGCCGACGACGAGGCGTATGAGCGCATTGCCTCCGAGATCCGAGGCGAGCTGGTCTTCTCGCCTGTGTCGCCGGGCTCTGTAGACACCAGTCTTGGTAACGAGCCGCTCGAAGAGACAGCGGCCAACTTGGGTGTCGTAGATCCGACCGGATCGAATGCGGGTACGCCAGCCCTCTCGAACATCCTTGTCGAGCGTGGAACGCAGTCTGCGGCTTGATTCTCTCCTCTTTCCCTTATATCTTCCGTTTTATATGTTTTTGTACTTAAGGTTTGGATGATTTTATCCGTTTCTCGAAGTTTTTATGTAACTGCCTGGATGGATTTATCCACCTGACTTATTGATTTGGCTATGGTTATATTCATCTTTTCCTTAGTCGTTTTTTTGTTGGATTTGATGCGTTTGTTCTTGATTGAATTTTTTTGACGAAAACTGTTTGTTTGGAACGAGTTATCGTTATCGAGCTGTGTCGGGAATGCTTTTGATTGCTTCCTTGGCCGAACTGTTTACGAAAGATCGATAGAAAAACGGGCTAAGGGACAAGTTGTTAAGGATTCTGTTTTAAGTATGAATCCCGAGCTGGGAGTTGATTTGTGGAGCGTCTTCGTTTTAGGTAGCTCTTAAAAGAATCCTAAATTTCCTTTGTGCCTTCCACCGTTAGTGCCGAGGCGTTTGAGTTAGGAAAAAGAGAAAAAGTGCGAGGCATTTCAGATCGGATTTGGTCTTTGGCCGTTTGAAGCGCTAAGTTTGGATCTCTTGCTGCCGAGGTCTACGTCCCGAGATGATATCAAAGTTTGATTATAGACCGGCGTTCCTGAAGGGGTGAATGTGTTTAGCCGGGTTTTAAGGGTTTGTTCCGGTTTTAGAGAAAGCGATGTAGTCTCGATTTATAATCTTGTGTACGATGACGAACCGTGGTGACCGATACATTTATGGTCTTAAATTTGTATAGCGCGCGTGATTTTAATCCATGGAGGATGTAACTTGCACCCTCGTCCTAGGAAAGGTGGTTAAAAGTCCATTTAGAGAACTTTGTGACTGTTGCCTCGCTGTGGCCAGCAACGAGGCGAGGTGTTTGGAGACTTAGTTTGCCGAAGTGGATACAAGGACAAGTAAAAGTCCGAGGCAATCAAGTCACGATAACTTGTCGAAGTGATGAACGAACGAATTAAAAATCCGAGGCGAACATGAAATAAGTAGCTGATTTAAAACGAATGAGAAACTAGCCGAAGCGACAATGAACGAATTAGAATTCCGAGGTGAACATGAAATAAGTAGCTGATTTAAAACGAATGAGAAACTAGCCGAAGCGACAATGAACGAATTAGAATTCCGAGGTGAACATGAAATAAGTTGCTGGTTTAAAACGAATAGAAAATTGGCCAAAGTGGCAATGTTCCTAGAGACGGTAGACGAGCTAAAATTGTAGAGTTAAATGAAGGTATGTGTATACCGACCCACTCCCCCCCCCCTTTTTAGGAGGGGGGACAGCTGAACCCGTCCGAGGACGGGCTGCCTACGTACTCTTTGCAGGGATCAAGCCGTCCCGTAGTTCATGTTGACCGTGTTGTAGCCTTAGTGATAATACTTCTTCAGGTGCACTGCATTCCACGATCTTGGAATTGCTTCGTCAGCTACCGTCGCAAGTTCGTAGACTCCTGGGCGAACTACTTTTATAATCTTGTAAGGGCCTTCCCAATTTGCTCCGAGCTTTTCTGCATTCTTCTCGGCAGTGTTTTGGAAAACTTCGACTGCGGACATTTTTGTTGTAGTATCTCGCCGTTGCTTGTTGGTAGTTCTGAATTCGGATTAGAGCCTGGTTGCGCCTTTCGTTGACCAAATCGAGTTCATCCAGCATCATTAAGTGATTCAAGCCTTCTTGTCCCGGCAGAAGTCTTCGTCGAATACCTGGGATATCCACCTCGGGGGGATTACGCATTCCGC